ACTACTATATATTTTCAATATGAGTCATTGCCTAATTAATCACAAAACATTTTGTTTCAAATTTGTTCCTGCACAAATGCTATGAAATCGTATTTAATTCATTTACTAAACTACTATTTCAGCTGAACCATGGGCATCTACCAGAAACGCTGTATTTACAAGCAGACAATTCGCCAAAAGATAACAAGAACAAGACCGTACTGTATTTTTTGGCATTGTTAGTCAAATTGAAAATCTTCAAAAAGGTATGTGTTCTTTTTGCAACATATTTACATACATACAGTGTGGGAATGCATGCAATAGAGGTCATTAAGAGGATCTTTAACATTCTCTTTATTAGAATCTCGGGATATTCAAATAATCCAATAATTGAATGTGTAATTTAATAGTGATACTCTTTTCCAGGTGAAACTTTCATTTCTCATGGTGGGCCACACTCATGAAGATGTGGACCAGCTGTTCAGCGTGTTTGCAAGGGAGCTGAGACAGAAACCTGCTGCAACACGTGATGCTCTCCTGCAAGTCCTTGCCAGCAGTAACGATCCAAAGCCCACTGCTACTATACTGGATGGTGTTTGGGACATGAGGCAGTTGTTTATCAACTGTGATTCACCGAAAGGACACAAGGAGGCACATGTGTTTGTGTTCAGAATGGAGGGGTCCTCAGTCTCCATGCTTTTATAAAGATTGGCCACTGAAAAGTGAAACCTACAGAAAGGTGTCATTGGATTTCAAGGTTGACCTGTCAACACTCACACCTGTCACTCTGGACAAGGAAAAGGTAGATGACACCTGTAAAGCCATAGGGGAGAGACTTGGGCAAATGGGTGTCATCTACCAGGCTGTCTGAAGAGGAAGAGCTTGTGGTGGGTGTCCTACATTAGAAAGATGGGGGGACATTCACACACCGCCATCAAGCTGTCCGACTTCAAGCCCTTCATGCCTGCCCCAAGGAAGAGAACACCCTCCCAAGAAATGTACAAGAGGCAATAGAGCGAAGCAATGAAAAATGCAGAAGCAATCAAAGGTATTTTCATTGAGTTCCAATTGTTAATAAAAAATTATATTGTCATCTGTTATACAGCGTTAGAGAGCATTTAATGTATAAAACATCCAGACATCAAGATGAATACCGATTTAAGCTTTTACTGTTTTCGCAGCGTGTCTTTGTATGTCAATTCTTATTATCCTTTCATTTTCATTTTCAGGTATCACTTACAAAAGCACAGAAGACAAGCCTCAGCGGAACTCTGAGATGGTGGCCTGATTGTAACACTGATGTAAATATGTATATGCGATGTATATACACTGAACATTTTCTTTGTATAATCACAAGCTAAATTTGCTTTTGCCTCACTGTCAAGTTAAATTGAAGTAGATTTTCGAAATGATTTGGACTTTGGTCTCAAAAAGGGTTGGGTTTTGTTTCCACACAAGTCGAAAACCTTTCAATATCTTTCTGCAGAACTTAGCAGATATATGAGACATATCCCAAAGGGGTGCCTTTTAGCTATTTGCAAATTTTTGGCATTTTAATCTTCCTGGTTTCCATGGAAACAATTCAGACTTAGTTTCATAAGGGAGGGGTGGGTTTCAACTTCAAAACCTTTCATTTTCTTTCGACAAGACTTGGCAGACATATCAAACAGATCTTGAAGTGGTGCCTTTTGCTATTTGCCAATTTTGGCACTTATATTTTTCATGATTTCCATGGAATATTTGGACGTAGTCTAAAAAAAATTCAAGTTGGACTTTTAAGTAACTGCCAGATGATTTGTTTTTTCAAATATGTGGGGGCCCGGGGGATTTGTCATCTTCTGATGGTTCTTGTTGGGGCTGTTGTTAAGTCTGAAATTGATTATTCTCCTTGTAAATATCCCTGTCTAGGTAACAATAAGTAAAAACACAATGGTCCCCTGTCATGGTTAGAAAGTTCCTTCTATTCTTGGAATTATCATGTGTTTTGATGTACTTATTGACCCTACTTATTGATCAAATTGTGTTTGAGGTGTAAATTTAATTTGTCATTGATGTGATGGTTTGAAGGCCACTTTAAAAACTAATTATCACAAAAGTTATTTAGTGTTAAGATATAAATATCGCATATGTCTCTTGTAACACAGTATTGTCAAACTTGTCACATGATACAATTCTACTTTCATATTCTTTGGATATTCAGATCGAAAATAGATGATGAAATAACTGAAAATTTGCGTTGGTTGAAACATATTTTGAAGATGTCACAATAATACCGACATCTGCACAAGAAATCTTTGTAGTTTTATGTATGTCCCTCACCTATGATATATAAGTTTCATTATTATGTACATGTTATTCTTGTTATAGTTTGTCAAAGTTTTAAATTTTGTTCTTTGTTACAACCAGCCTGCCATAAAGAAAAGCAAATAACCATAATGTATTTTTTGTGTTTGGAATATATATATATATATATTTGTATATGTACAGCATGTGTAACTGTAATGTGGTCTATGGCATTTATGAAACAATACATACAGTTATGTTATATGACCTTGTTTGTGTTATTTTCCCACTGTCTGATGTTAACTCTGCTTTCTATGATAGTATATCTCATCTTGATTGAATTGTTGGATTTCACCAAGTACATGTACAATGTATTCTTATATTTGGCTGGCCTCATTAAAAGGCTGTTAATTGTTTTAAAGTCACATTTACTTGCACACTGCAAATTAGATAATTTCAAAGTAAAATCTGACAAAGAGCAATTCATTTAGACTATTTTAATGTGTGCAGGTGTACAATTAATGAAGACTCTGCTTAATATGGTTTCAAGGATTATGCATCTGCCATATACAATTCAGTGTTCCTCTGTCCAGTTAGGGTGATTATAGGAGCAACAGAGGCATATATACCATATTATAAATCTTTTTCTGCCAGAAATTTCTTCAGAAAAAAAAATTCTGCCAGAAATTTCTGCAGGAAAAAAAAAAATTCTGCCAGAAATTTCTGTAGAAAAAAAAATTCTGCCAGAAATTTCTGCAGAAATGCATTTTCAGAGCCAATTTGTGAGCTTATGAAAACATGAACACACTTGCACATAATATTTTTGGATTCATCTCCTTGAGATCTTTCCAATGATATAAAAAATGTTTTTGTAGCATGCTTCCTTCTGGGTGTCAAGTTAGGACTGTCTGACCATTCCTAAGTTGTCCCGCCCGGCCTTAGGAATTTTTTTTTCCTGCAGAATTTTTTTTTTCTGCAGAAATTTCTGGCAGAAAAGATTTATAATATGGTATATATGCCTCTGTTGCTCCTATAATCACCCTAACTGGACAGAGGAACACTGAATTGTATATGGCAGATGCATAATCCTTGAAACCATATTAAGCAGAGTCTTCATTAATTGTACACCTGCACACATTAAAATTGTCTAAATGAATTGCTCTTTGTCAGATTTTACTTTGAAATTATCTAATTTGCAGTGTGCAAGTAAATGTGACTTTAAAACAATTAACAGCCTTTTAATGAGGCCAGCCAAATATAAGAATACATTGTACATGTACTTGGTGAAATCCAACAATTCAATCAAGATGAGATATACTATCATAGAAAGCAGAGTTAACATCAGACAGTGGGAAAATAACACAAACAAGGTCATATAACATAACTGTATGTATTGTTTCATAAATGCCATAGACCACATTACAGTTACACATGCTGTACATATACAAAAATATATATATATATATTCCAAAACACAAAAATACATTATGGTTATTTGCTTTTCTTTATGGCAGGTTGGTTGTAATAAAAGAACAAAATTTAAAACTTTGACAAACTATAACAAGAATAACATGTACATAATAATGAAACTTATATATCATAGGTGAGGGACATATATACATAAAAACTCTACAAAGATTTCTTGTGCAGATGTCGGTATTATCGTGACATCTTCAAAATATGTTTCAACCAACGCAAATTTTTCAGTTATTTCATCATTATTTTCGATCTGAATATCCAAAGAAAAGATTATAGCAAATGTTTAATGTCATCGAAAGTAAAATGTATGAAAGTAGAATTGTATCATGTGACAAGTTTGACAATACTGTGTTACAAGAGAGACATATGCGACATTTATATCTTAACACTAAATAACTTTTTGTGATAATTAGTTTTTTAGAGTGGCATTCAAACCATCACATCAATGACAAATTAAATTTACACCTCAAACACAATTTGATCAATAAGTAGGGTCAATACGTACATCAAAACACATGATAATTCCAAGAAAAGAAGGTCCTTTCTAACCATGACAGGGGACCATTATGATTTTTACTTATTGTTACCTAGACAGGGATATTTACAAGGAGAATAATCAATTTCAGACTTAACAGTTCCAACAAGAGTCATCAGAAGATGACAAATCCCCCCGGCCCCACATATTTAAACAAATCATCTGGCCAGAACAAATAATCTGGCAGTTACTTAAAGTCCAACTTAATTTTTTTTAGACTACATCCAAATCCCTTCCATTGAAATCAGAGATGAAAAATATAATTTTCTATAAATATACTCTGCTGAAGTTCTGTTGAAATATATTGAAAGGTTTTCGACTTGTGACTCGGACACAAAATCCACCCCTTCTTTTTGAGACTAAGTCCAAATCGTTTTCATGGAAACCGAGAAAAAATACAAATGACAGAAATCTGTAAATCTGCACTTTGGGATCTACTTCTAATTGAACTTGTGTAAACTCTGGCAGATTTATTTTTTTAGTTACATGTAGCAGAATTGTTTTACTTCAGCAAACATTATGGAGAGTTTAGTATAAATTTCATTAAATAACGTTTTCCCATTGAAAACAACTTAAAGTTGTAGGGTAAAGGGTTTCCAGAAGTAGGATGCTGCTCAAGAATTAAAATACCTAACATAACATAAATCAAGAAGAAATAGAAATAAAGATAGAGATTTCTTTAAACAAGATTTCTTCCAACTTGATAATTCAAACTTATGAACTTTGGCTTATCTCAGTGTCCGGTTGTCTTGAAAGTCCAGTTTGGTTTCAGAGATGGTTCCTGTCACAGAAAACAAAAAAAACATATGACAGCAGTGTATTTTACCCCGAGCCCCTCCCAATGAAAATAACTTCAGCATAAGGCATCTACGCTTCATTTATTCCAGGAAGGTTAATTGTACATGGTAAATGGCGGCCAGAAAACAACAGGCAGAGATATGTACTTCATGACTAATTGCATAAATGTTGACCTAAATGTGACAGCGACAGTGAGGTCTTAGTTATAAAGAAATGACAAAATTCACAGATATTACATGTCATGTGACTAAATGTTACCATGAGTTTACGAACAATGCCTTGAGTACTTACACTATGGTAGCCTGCAGTTTGTTAGATTTAGCAACTCTGAGTTGGCGCGCGATTGCGCTTCTACATGGTACATAAAGCAAACTTTGACACAGAAGAGCATTCCTGGATACCGCAAAAAAAAACCAACTAACCTCTGAATAAAAACACAAGCTACTTTGTAATGTAACATGTTGAGGGAATGGATCATATTGTATGAGTTGAAATAATTTGATTACTTACGTTTTCTTCTCAATATACTTGAAATGAATTCTTTTCTTTGTCATGTCGCTAAATTCAATTAGAACATATTCTGAAAAACATGAAAAACACTTTCAGTCTTCTCTCATTTCAGGTATAAACACATTCAACATGCTTTAGAAATATATTGAGTGAGTGAGTGAGTTTAGTGTTCCAGCACACTCAAAGCAATATTCCAGCTAGAAATATATTAGACACAATAACAATGTAAGGTTTAAAATAAATATGAATCATAATTTGAATATATAGGCTATTTGTATAATGTTAGAAATACCTCCATCAACACGCTCAACATGGCCAGGGTATCGAGCTGCTCTGTGCACCAACCATGGAGCCTCAACCTTGTCACCAGTCTTCAACTAAATCAAACATGTACAATATGTGTATTTATTCTCGTAGGCTTTCACAAAGTGGAAAACATCATAGTGAAAATCTCAAACAATATAAATATGTAGCTTCTTCACAGCTCTGGAGGTTAATGTGATATAAACATTTACATATACATTGTACATTGTACTCACAGAAGAAGACATACCTCAAACCTGACCTTCTTTGTTGAAAGCCACTCATCCAAGTTGTAACCAGTCCAATGTATTTTAACTCTTTCCTTCTGTAGTGACAATACTTTGGCTTTATACCTGTTTTTAATCAAGATAAAAAGAATTATGATTTATGGAAACAAGAAGGTTCACACAAATATTTATCTCCACTGTTGTTTTTTTAATTTCAATACTGAAATGTCTATATCCTTCTTGAACAACAACTTTCACTACAGACTATTGCTCAAGTAACTACTAGGGCAGAAATGAAGTAACTGTAGTAATAACCAGAGATGGAATTATCTTTGCTAGATTCAAACTTATCAAATTTGTTGTTGTAGATTTGCCAAATATGCAGAATCGCTTCAGGTATGAAAAATAAACACTGCAATTCTTTGAGCGACACAAAAAGTGTTATCCTTCAAGAAGTTTCAGAATGAAAGAGGGTCCGACTATTGATTTTGCGTCAAATGATGATCAGTACCTTAGCAAATCTATCTGAAAATAATCATAAGAATTGATGTAACTCATGAATTTGTGATTTCCAAATGTGAAGTTTCTTTGAACAATGATGACAATAATAACATACCAAAAGCCGTCATCCTCTAAAGCCTCCACAATCATTCCAACCTTGAATTTGCAGGGGGGTATCTATGGACAAAATCCATGACATGCATGATTAGTAAAATGAACTAGTCAGCTCACTGTTATTTTTGTAGTCTATTTTCAGAGTTTTCTAATTAAAAATTTACCAAGTAATATCTTTCACACAAGTTGCTTGAAACACTGATACTGATGATCCATAATATATACAATAAGTCATAGCTAATAACACTGACAGATGTTTTGATAGATGTTTGTAATTGAACTAACATGTTCATTCATAAGTTTAATTCCATTTCTGCACAGCAAAATCCACTTGTCCACCATTACAATAATATTTCTCCTCTGACACAGTGACCCCTTCCATGAAATGTCACTAGATGCCATGCAGTTGTGGTGGAACACATTACCTGCACTGGCAATATTTTACCTGCACTGGTGCAGTCTAGATTCGACAAAATTGATACCTGCAGTACAGCAACATTGGATTGAGTGAGTATGGTTTTACGCCGCTTTTAGCAATATTGCAGCAATATCATGGCGGGGAACACCAGAAATGGGCTTCAAACAATTTACCCATTTGGGGAAACAAACCCAGGTCTTTAGGGTGATGAGCAAACACTTTAACCACTAGGCTACCTACACCGCCCCAGCAACATTGGAAATGGCCCCAGAAAATCCTAATACATGTACAGACTAGCACTTTTCATAATTGCTCACCTCATTATTCATGTGTCTCCTTTTTTGCAAGTAGGACTCAGCCTGAAAGAAAATGTTGTTTTTACATAAAAATTATATCAATTACAACATACCAGTATTCACATATTACCAAAAAATTAGGCCATTAATTAGCAGTAGAGATATTTATTAACTTACCATTTCCTCACTTTCTGCAATCCTTGATGCCTGAAAATAGATTTGTCCGCATGTTATTTGTCCATCTTATAGAAGCTTGTACAAGTAGGGTTCTATTTGCCATCATGACCAGTAGAAAAGAAAATAAGTCAATTGGCTGAGTGATATGAACATCGACATTTCATTGATATTCCTTTTCCATGACCTAGCATTGGGAAGATGATTACAATGACAGACATGTACAGATAGACTGTGGAACATTGTGGCAAGAGCAAACTGAAGCAGTATAAAACCATTTGTTATCTTAAAATAGGAATATCTAAAGTAATATGAAATAATACCTAAATAATTAATGCCACTCAAAAAGCTAGGAATATCTAAAATTAATATATGTTTGAAAACATCATTAATTCAACCTTCAGCGTTTCATATATATCCAATTCACAGATGGCAGTTTAAGGTTTCTATAACTTACCTTTTCAGGTGCTGTTTTCTTCAAGCTTCTCATATTTGAACTTGATTGAAGAGTCTGATAAAGAAAGTATGATACCTTATGAATATGAATGACATCATTGTTCTTTAATACCACTCTATAATTTACCAAACCATAACTTTGTGATAGAGGTAATCATTCATACTGATTTGTTTAGTTATTAAAAATTCATAGGTGCATGTAATCAGAACAGTTTAGTTTCATATTTTACCTTTTGTATATCTTTATTAAAGGATTTTAATTTATATTAAATATGTTAAAGTGTAATTACCTTTCTACCCCTTCTTGATGCTCTTCCTTTGTAAGATATCACCTGAAAATAGTGCCAAACTTACATGAACTGCTTTTTTCAAGCCAGAAAGAAACATAAATTGGATGAAGTGTATCATAATATGTATCATTTACATTCAGTTTCAATTGACAAACCATGTGTATACCTGACATTTAACATGCAAAATACAACAGAATCTGAAATTGAAATAAAATACTTACTGGAAGCTCTGGACATTCCACGCCAGGAATATTCTAAAAGAAGATGCAGACTGTTATTCTCTAATCAGTGAATTTTACCATAGTTGACAATAAAATTACCAGCTTCACATCAAATATATGCTAATATATGTAGTAGTATGGAATTGCTGAGTTGATTCCAAAATCATTTCAGACACAACACCAGGATGAACATTGTCATTATGGGGTAAACAATATGAAAAATAATTTTGTAAAAGTGGGCTTATTAACCAACCTCAAGATGTTCCTGTGCCGATTCCTCATGAAGTATATTCTGCAAAATGGCAAAAATGCAGTTGAAAATGCTGATTATTAACAAATGATATTATTTTTATGAGTAATAATAACCTACCAATCCATTTCCGTTTTTCAGATCTTCATTGACATTAACTCATTTTTAGTTGGCATGTTTTCATTGAGAAGGAATTACTGTAACTCACCTGAACTAGGGTTATTTGAAAGTCACGGCCATCATCATTATCATTGAATGTATACACCTATAAATTAGAAATGAATAATTTACAGTGGGCATTATCATGCATGTTAAATTTTAAAGCAGATATGATATCAATAAGAAGAAAAATTAATTACAAGGTGTTCTTCAAAGTGCCTGAATATTGCCAGGTGTGCATACTGAACAACCAACAACTGATACAAGTGCATGACTAGATGCAATATTGTGAATGCTTGGGAAGACATGACATGACAGTTTTGAATGATTATTATTGAAAACTCATTACTGACTTTATTAAAAATAATCAGTCCAAATACAAAATTATCCTCACATCAGGCTCAGGGTAATCTCTGCCTCTCTGCAAAGTTTCTTTATTCCGATGCTCTTGTAGCTGCTGTGATTTCCTTCTTTTCTCTGAAAAAAGACAATGGTATTTCCAGACTAGGTATTTTTTTCTTTTTTTCTTTCAATGCCTTACTCAAGTGTCTTCTGTATATGACCGAGTGTGGTGTTATCTTAAAAGTTGGGAATTGGTTGAATCTTCATAATTGATGATTGGTTCATTATCAATCATCGAAAATGGTGAGTGTCATTTGTCAAAATTACCTGTAATGTTTGTTATTGCACACCAAACATGGAAAACATGTTGTTGTTTATTTAATTGCACAAAATGCATTTGTAAATTTCACATCTTAAAAAGGAGGACTAGTATGTTAGGAATAAATTTCTGGAGTCTTAGGATAAATTCAGTCATGACTTTGAACGAGCTCGTAGTGCTTATGTAATGTAAATTTAATGGACAGAGACAAAACCAACCTTGTGAAAAATATTGTTAATGTAAACAAGGGTTCCAAAACTGTTTGTGTGTTTGATTATGCGAAAATATGATCAACTGCTTGATCATTTTGTCACTCATGACCAATCTTTGATTAATTCAATTAATCGGACCACCACTAGTGTTGCAAATGATACACCATCAAGAATGACACACATCCAACAACGTCGAGAGAGTCTGACCACCCAAATGTTTATGAATACCCTAACTGACCAGCAGAGGTTTCTGGGGACATTTGCCGAAAGCATGATTTGCCACAAAGAATCAGAAAAAATGAATGTACATTTTACACAGAGTGAACTATACCATCTTATCCAGTTCCTGTCCTACAGTAATAGGTTCTATGTCCCTCAGCTCCTCAATCAGTCTGTCCTTTTCTTTCAGTCGTTCCTTTAATATCCAATACATCGGTATAGCTGCCTCTGACTGATTTCAGTTCCTTCAAATAGAATATGCATATTGATATATTCTAATGCCAAACGCCAAGATAACCATATAAATGGTTCTCGTGTTGAAGTTAACTGAAGGAATTATTGTTTATTCAAAGTTTAGATCTGAATCTGTTCTTTATACCTTGTTTGCTTGTTTAATCTGTTTCTAGTTGAAGATTGAATTCTTCTTGGAGATTTCACTGTTTCTGAATTCACTGTCAACAGTCTGTAGCCAAAGAGGTTGCCTCATCTTTGAATGAAACAGTCTCCAAGAAACAGACATGTGTTCACTTTAGTATGTTTCTGCCTTGCTTACTGGCTGAATAAATCCATCATGATCTCAAGCATGAGGCGATAATTGATTCGTCAGGGATAAGCAGAAGCTACCTTCACTACAAGGTGAACTTTGAAACGACCACCAAAGGATAAAGGAAGGGAAAAATTAAGTAAATTGAAAAGAAAGAGCACACAGTAAAAAACAATGGATGCATTATATTAATAGGTTGAAGCAAACTGGGGGAAAAAGGACAACAATGAATTATAAGTGAACTGCTTCATGACAAGATCTAAGTAACACTTTACACGTGATGGATCTGTAGGTTTCAAAGCCGCCTGGCACTGTTTTTCCATTTATTATCTGCACTGCCAAGAGGAAGTTGCCCCACTTTACCTGATCTTAGGTGAAGGTTGCGAAAAGCCTGATGAAATAAATATTGAAACATTTTAGACACTGTACATTTATTAGTGCAGGAGTAAGTGAGTTAACATTTTAACGTCACATCGGTAATATCTCAGCCATATCGTGACGAGAACAATTTATACAACATTTGAAAGAGCAAAAATCTGTCGATGATGGATAGTTAAAGTCCTAGAGTATCTGATATGAATATAAAACTAGACTGTATAAAATCTAAAACATTTTTACTAAAAAAGACAGTAATATAAAACACGGGCTGGCAGATCGCCAACAACTGAAGGTAGATCACCATACTAGGGCATTAGTGCAGGGTAGTATGTTTGGTCAGTAGTGTGTATAGAATTAAAGGGTGGGGACTTTGACTTCGAAAAAACCTTGTTAGATTAATCTAAACCATCATAAACTGGGGATGTATGTTTGGTCCTTAGTATAGAAGTAAAGGGGTAGGGACTTTAACTTCGAAAACCTTGTTAGATAAATCTAAACCATCATAAACTGGGAGCGTGACAAGGACCCCATGCTTAATTTTGCACTCAGCTTGTCTGGTGGAATGACCAACATTGTATTAGTATAATTTACCAAGAAAGGAGTACTCAGCAAGAAACCCCTGTCCAATAAAACAACATCAATAACTTACCATTATTGTAGCTTTGAAATTTAGGGTTGTACATCTGTAGGAGGAGTTTCTGCCAGGAGATGTATCCAGAGGGTTTTGAACCAGGTCAGCTCCTAAAGAAATAGGGAGATAAAACTGATAACACTGTCAAAGAACTAAATTAGATAATATCATTCAAAAATATATTAAATATTTTTTTCTGCCTTGATATGTAACTTTATATACACCCATCAGCATGTCAAGCGTCTCCAGAAAGTCATCGGAATCCTCCTCGTCAAGTAACAGGTCACTCCATAAGTTGTCAGTAACTGCATACTCTGCGTATGGGGCACTCAATGTCGACATCATCATGAAGCTGAAATTAAAACCTTAACACTTATTACATTTGAGATAAGTTTTATACTTTGTACCTACACACATGCAGCATTAACATCACTAGCGCTACAAGCTGCGACCGATAAAACCGATATGTTGCCCTCTTTTTGGCATCAAGGTATGTCGAATATTTATCAATATTTGTAAACGCCTACCCTCAATAAAGGAAATGTGTTCGAATGTTTTGGCGTTGCTGGTTAAAATTCGATTTTCCGAGAGGCCCATGTCTACTAGGAAAATAAGGAAATGACTTTTAAAGTCAGCCAATATAATCCGGTGTCCGATGTAACAAATTCGAAGGCAACAATGACCAAGAATGGCCACTATGAATGAATACACCTTCCTGCGTTATTCGTTCTGCATAATCTAGAGTAGTTCCCCTTGAGAGTTTCAAAATAGGAATCGAAAGACGAAAAGAAAATATCTACTCATCAATTTTGCACCCATGTTCTTTTAGGGGCTCGTCATTGATTTCGTACAGGGCACGGTGAGGAGGGTGGGTGGTTGGAGTCCACTATATATAGATTTAAAGTGTCTGGGGTAGGAGGTGGGGCATTCACATTATTTACAAGCTCCCCATAAAGATCATTATCACCCCATCCCCAGCTACATCGGGGAACAATATACTGGTCAAAGTGACAATACCTGAGGAGGCATTTTAATTGTCTCGTGAATTGTCCTCGGCACCGCATAGACAATACGCGTCTTGGGTAACATCTATTACACGTTTTGTTGGTTCAGATCAACACCGGATGCTGATGTTGTTCTTGACTTCAGGAGAGATTATAAAAGTACTTTTTAATGCAATATACATTGGTCCTGCACGGTTATATTTTGATATCTAATTAAGTATATCTTTACAAATAAGTACACAAACTGCTCGCATAAATA